AGTCAACTATATTTTGTTTCTTGAGATTCAAGTATTTATATTCATCATATTATAATGTATATTCACTTTATTCTATTATCTCCCAAAGTCTCACTCCATTAAAAATTTGGTAATTCCAGAATCTCAACACATCATCTAAATCTGTTTTTAAAATTGTTTTATTTTTTAGATCATCTAAATCAGGTGAGTATCATACGTGATAGCAAGTGTTGAATAATGGATATCAAACATTTGTATTTCCCGAGGAAAAAAAGGGGAAGAAATAAAAAAGTGGCCAATCACAAATTAGTTTCTCATTTACTATTGGGCTTCCTGTTGTGAAAGAATACATTGCTGTATTTCAAGCTATTAAGTGTATGGTAATTTGTTATGGCAGCCCCAGGAAACTAATGCAATGATGTTAGCACACAACCTAGTGAATTAATAGACAATTTATGAATAAGTCTAATGCTACCTAAGGAAAGTGAAATCCCTTAGAGTTCTAAATAATTTCTCAAAACACAAAATTACTAGGAAATTATTGAAAGGTTCATTTAAAATATGGAGATTATATTCCATAGACAGTTTTGCCAGCATTGCAATAATAAAAAAAACTAACCATAATAATCCAGATAAAATATTTACGATTATAGCTATGATACAAATTTATCTATTGCATGTTGTCTATATAATATGCAATCTCATGAAAAAATAATTGTTCATATTCTTTCGAGTTCTTTTGTACTTATAATACAGCACTGTTTATTTCTCTTCATAAATGAGGTTGTTAAGCTTTTTCCATTTACATTAATTCATCTGCTTCTAAATTTCTGTCATAACCTTAAATAATACTCTCATTCTTTAGTAGCTCCAGATGGGTTCTTATCTGCCCAATCTGTCAGTCCTGGCAAACAAATGATTATCAACATGATTATCCCTGCTTGGGGGCAGTTAAGTATATATTTGATAATCACATGCATAAAGCTATGTGTCCATAGGAACAGCTTGCACCATAGCAATAGGTAAGTTAGTGTTAAGACCCAAAGCGTCTGACTTGCCAAGGTACTTAAAAATAAAGCAGAAAAGAAGATGCCTCTTCTATTGAAGGCACAGCTTGACAATAATATCTCCTAGGATAGAGGCAGTCAAAAGGAATCTACAATTGTTATTGAAAGACACAAGAGTCCACAACAGTGAATACATGAAAATTTTGTTTTAAAATCCGATTTATTCATTAGAAAGGAATATTGAGCACTAATAATAAACAAACTATCTGCTTCCTTTTAATTTTTAAATGCGTGTGCTCTAACAGATGAATCATAGACATTGTAAAATCTACCAGATGCGGTAGGTTGAATAAAAAATTGCTTTTATCCTAGAGAACAATGATTGTCCCAAGGGTGCCTCCCCCCCCCCCCGAAACATTACCCCTTGATTCTGAAAATTCATGCTTCTCTGGGGTAAGGAGGCTCATTCATGTATTAAATTCATGAAAGAACACAAGATATAACACTTCCTGGATCATTTAGTTAAATTTGAATATGATTTATTGAATTACTTAAGATAGATGGTCATCTTCCAATGTTAAGGAGGAAGGAATAATGGGAAGAAACAAAATGCAATTTGTAGGTCAACTAAAGGATTTCTGTATCTTCCCAATCAGGATGAATTAGTAATATTGGCAATTAATTTCTATTTATGTTTCCTCAGAAGGAAATAGCTTTAAATTAGTGAGTCATCAATTAAAGTATCAATTAATCTTTAATATATAGCACAGCGAGTAGGGCATTTGCCTTGCACACAGCCAACTTAACCAACTCAGTTTCAATTCCTCCGCCCCTCTCAGAGAGCCTGGCAAGCTACTGAGAGTATTTCGCCCTCATGGCAAAGTCTGGCAAGCTACCCGTGACGTATTTCATATGCCAAACACAGTAGCAAGTGTCACAATGCAGATGTTACTGGGCTTGGTTGAGCAAATCGATGAACAACTGGAGGACAGTGACAGTGACAGTGATATATATGTGCATGTGTGTATATATGTATACATCTAAATCATATATAATAATAATACATATACAAGGCATGCATGTTTTAGTTTGGTGTTTGAGTTTTCAGATTTTTGTATTTTTAAGTTGTCATATTGAGCTTGTAAAATATTCTAAAACTCCGTTTTACCCATGTTCCTGAAATGTTTTTAGTTTCTGAATTCCTAATATACAGTTGAAAAATTAGTTGTTTGCATTTAAGTGATATCCTATCTCTTGGAAGGCTCATTTTCCAAGGCAATTCAGAAGAGATTAGGGAAATGATCATTATAGGTTTGATCACTCTGTTTACAAAATCCTGCTTAGGACACTTTTTTTCTAATAAGTTTCTCTCCCCAGCTCTCTTTAGGGTAGAGCAAATGTCTTAGTTTCTCTATAGGGAGTGATAACTGTCTGATGCTGCCAAGAAAAAATGTTTCACAATTGAAGAAGGGTAGTACTAAGTCAGAGGCAAAAGTAGGGAGAAAAAATACCTGTTCTGCATCTTACCTTAGTGTTAATAAGCAACACCAGCATAAAGTGAAGACCACTAAGGCGTTAGAGGGACTCTAGACCACTCCATTGCCAACTTAGTGGGGATATTTAACTCTTGTTTTTCCTAAACCAGAGCCTATTTTGGATCAGAGTACGTATTTTGTGAAGCATATTTAAGATTTTTCCAATATTAATTTCTCGATTGAAAAGGTACCTGTTTTAATAAACAGTAGCTGATCACATGCAGCCCTGCATAAGAATGTATACCCTTATTATTAATGCTTTTCATGTTTGACATTTCTTCTAGTACTCAATATAACATGCTTCAATTTTGTAATTTAAATTTTTTACTATTCCACATTTGTTCATAAAATATTGGTTGGCAAAAATACAGGACTGAACTCACCCACTCTTATATACTATTTCAAAGTTATATTCCCAGATTATCAAGTAGAAGAAACATGAATATTGGTTGAACATTTTTATAGTAAAAGTTAAGAAACTCTAAGAAAGTAATAATTAGTTACAAATACTAAAACAGCATATTGTATTAAAAAAGCACAAGGAATATAACACTCAAATAACAAGGTAGTATAAGGGAAATGAAATATAAGATGATAACATGAAATAGCACTTGAAGAAAAGCGTAAAATAAATCTTTATAAATACAGAAATGAGCCAGAGAGGTAGTAGAGAAGGTTAAGCTCTTGCCTTGTACAAAAGTGATCTCTGTTCCATCCCTGAGCACTGCAAGGAGTGACCCCTAATCAGGATGCCTGGAGAAAGTTGGGTGTGGTCATACTTGGGTGTGTTCTAATACATAATCCCCTCCCAAAACCATTACAAAAGTAACTTGTTGAAATTTCAAGATATTACTGAATTGGAGACTGAAAATGTATCACATTAAAAAAAAGTTAAGAGCAGATTTAAAACTAGCAATGTAAAACATAATGGAAGATAGAAGTGTATACAATGGGATAAATTGCTGAGTGAAAACTGCAAAAAAAAATCCTTTCTCTTTTGAAAATCACAATTTTTTTTTTTGCTTTTTTTTTTTTTTTTGGTTTTTGGGTCACACCCGGCAATGCACAGGGGTTACTCCTGGCTCTGCACTCAGGAATTACTCCTGGCGGTGCTCAGGGGACCATATGGGATGCTGGGAATCGAACCTGGGTCGGCCACGTGCAAGGCAAATGCCCTACCCGCTGAGCTATCGCTCCAGCTCCCTGAAAATCACAATTTTTTAAAATGTGTATAATACTAATGTAAGTTGAGGAGACTAGGTAAAGAAGAAACTGGAGGAAACTGAAAGAATGTCTCAAAAATCTTTCTTTTAGGCAGAGAACACCTTTTGTATCTAGTAATGTTTATTGCTAAAACATTGCAATTGACTGATATTTGACTTTCATTAAACTCTCTATGAAATTTGTTTTGTTGTGGGGCTGGAGGGGGAACCCTCAAGTAGGACTCAGAGAAGTGTGGGAGTCTCTCTCAGTGATTTTCACTCATCGTGATAAGACCTGAAGTTGTGCTGCTGCTCTGGGCTTGGGTCTCTCTCTGTCTGAGTTATTTCACTCAGCATGATACTCTTCAAGTCCATCCATTTATAGGCAAATTTCATGACCTCATTTTTCCTAACAGCTATATGATACTCCATTGTGTAGATGCATCTTAGTTTCTTCATTCATCCCTCTCTTCCCAGGCACTCAGGTTTTTTCCAGGTTGAGGGTATTGTGAATAGTGCTGCAATGAACATTAACATGTAGATGGTGTTTATGCTGTGTTTTTGGACCCCAAGGGTATATGCCCAGAAGTGATATTGTTGGCTCATATGGAAGCTCAATTTCTAGTTTTTTTGAGAAATAACAATATAGTTTTCCAAAAAGGCTGGACCAATTGACATTCCCACCAGCAATGAATGAGGGTCTCTTTCTCCCTGCATCTGTGCCAGAACTGGTTGTTTTGTTCATTTTGGTATGTGCCAGTCTCGGTGGTGTGATATGGTATCTCAAAAATGGACCAGGAAAACTCATCAGTGGCTGGAAATTACCAAAACAGAGTGGGAGGTGAGAGTAGTCAAGATAGAGGAGGGTCCTTTATGAAAGAGTAGTCAAAATGATCACTCTGGAAAAGAACTGAGTTTTGAAAGTAAAGAACTAGACATGATAACCTCTCAGTATCTGCTTTGCAAATCATAATGCCTAAAATGAGAAAGATAAAGAGAGAGAAGGAAGAGAGGTGCCTGCCATAGAGGCAGGCAGGGTTGGGGAGTAGCTTGGAAGGGTGGGAGGGGACACTGGTTCTGGGAAATTACACCTGTGGAGAGACAGGTCTTGGAACATTGTATGACTGAAACCCAATAATAAGCATCTTTGTAATATCTCATAGTCATTCAAAAAAAATTGAAAAATAATGAAACAAAAAAAATAAAAAAGAAAGTGTTGAAAAAATAATGGCCTTTGTAATATTGGAAACATCTTATTTTTATTTTTTTTTAAACAGCCACTGAATTTTGAGAAAAAGAAGTCATATACCCTCAACATAGAAGGAGCAAATACACATCTTGATTTTCGCTTTTCTCACTTGGGTCCTTTTAAAGATGCCACCATGCTGAAGATCATTGTCGGAGACGTAGATGAACCTCCACTCTTCTCCATGCCTTCCTACACCATGGAGGTCTATGAAAATGCCAAGATCGGAACTGTTGTTGGCACTGTTTTGGCACAAGATCCCGACATTGCTAACAGTGTTGTAAGGTATAGTATCTCCTTTAGAAAAATATTGATTAGAATCAGTGATATATATATATATATATATATATATACTAAGTTTGAAATGAAAACAACAATTTTCCAAATATTAACCTTAAAGTTACTCTGTATTAAATAAATTATATTAACTAATTCTCCAATTAGCAAACTATTTTTTACTTTTGTGAAGTATGTCCATATTCCTATGATCACATTGTACCTGCAAATTATACCAATTAACTTAATAATTGAAAATAATTTTTGAGACTCCATTTATACATTAGAGGACTCTTTCTTTTTGTCTTGCTTTACATTTATTTTTAATATATTTTGTCTTGTTTTCTATTCATTTACGTAAACATTTACAGAGTTGTTCAACACACAGTTGTTATGGAAATCCAATGTTCCAACACCAATCCCACCACCAGAGTGATGTCTCTACCTTTTATCCTCATTTTCCCATCACCCCCAACTTTTAGGACGCATAAGAAAATATTATATTGATTATTACAACTAAATGGCTAATGGAATTATCAAAAAATATTCCAGTCAAAGAAAATTTGTGAAAATTGTTATATTTGAATTTATTATTTCAATTATTTATTTATAAATAAATAATTATAGCCCAGTTGTGGGGCATTTGCCTTGCACGTGGCGGGCCTGGTTGAGCCAGGTTCAATTCCTCCGCCACTCTTGGAGAGCCCAGCAAGCTACCAAGAGTATCTTGCCCTCACAGCAAAGCCTGGCAAGCTGCCCATGATGGATTCAAAATGCCAAACACAGTAACAAGTCTCACAATGGAGACTTTACTGGGCCCACTCGAGCAAATCTACAAACAATGGGATGACAGTGATTATTTCATGAATTATTTTATTATAATATTATGCTTCTTTTTATTATTTTATTATATTATATATTTTATTATCACAATCACAATCACGATCATCCTGTTGTTCGTCAATTGCCTCGAGCAGGCACCAGTAAAGTCTCCTTCTCCCTAGGCCTGAGATTTTAAAAGAGCCATTTTCAATGCTCTTTCAAGGCTAGGAGGATGAGACCTATCATTGTTACTGGTATTTGGCATATTGAGTATGACACAGGAAGTTTGCCAGACTCTGCTGTGTGGGCAGGATACTTTTGGTAGCTTGCCGGGTTCTTCAAAGTAAAAACGAGATAATAAGATGTCGGGACTTAATAATAATAAGCACTTCTGGGGGCTGGGTTTTATACTCTCTGGGTCTTGGCCATTGATGGGACCAATAAATTATAAATTGATAAATAAATTTATAATCAAAGCCCAGAAGCACACTCACATCCCACAGCTGCTGCCATGCTGGCCCAGTAACGTCTCCACTGTGACACTTGTTGCTACTGTGCTTGGCATATTGAATATGTCATGGGTAGCTTGCCAGGCTATGCCGTGCAGGCGAGATACTCTCAGTACCTTGCTGGGCTCTTTGAGAGGGGCGGAGGAATTGAACCTGGGTTGGTTGGGTTAGCCGCATGCAAGGCAAATGCCCTACCACTGTGCTATCGCTCCAGCCCATCAATCAATTTAATAACAATTAATTTAATATCAATATGTTGGTTATTTATTATTTAATATTATTATTTAATATTAGTATTCATTATTATATAGCGACATAATTTATTATGTTATATAATAAATTGATAAAATTTATCAACAGTGACAGTTATATTTCACCATGAGGTCACTGATTTCTTGTCTGAAGGTTGACATAGCTGTGTGTTGTGTTGTCATTTTTATTGACTGAGTTCAGTTGGCTTCTATGTTACTTTTTTTCAATTTGACATGCTCCTATTAGGATGTCACTATTGAGTGATGTGGAATTTATAGGTGTTGTGTGGCCACATACGCTGCTGCTCACTCCAGGAGCTCCAGGATCTGTAGATCTGGATTGGTGGATGAGTTTGCCCGGTGGTGTGGAAAGTGAGTGTGATTGTTGAGGCTTCCGGAAGTATGGAGAAGTGGGAGAAGCAATGAACTTGGGCTACCATCATGGCAGCAGCTGTGGGATGTGAGTGTGGCTTGTGGGTTTTGGCAGGGCAGGAACTCAGCCAGGGGCCCTCCCAGGAGTGCACCAGAATTTTCAGGCCAGAAACATGCCTGCCCATGAATCTTACCTCCTTGGCTTGCACCTCTTTCAAGATTTAGTCTTGAATCTGTCTCACCTTAGAGATTGTTTTTTCTCTCTCAGTGATAAGAAGTATAGATAAGTGAGATAATTGAGGCTCAGAGAAGAATGAGAATATCAGGCTCAGAGAAGAATGAGAATATCAATGGCTGCATGCCCTTAGGAAATTACTCACCTTTTCTGAAATAGAACAAAACTAGTCTATTTTAGAGTTATGATCAGAACCCAAAGAGCAGTGCACTTAAGGAACAGCGTGGTCTGGTGCAGTTGCGTAGGGAATGTGAACTCGTCTAAGACAGAATAGAATGAAGACTTAGAGACAGGAAATCCAGTGTGGGAATTTTGGAATCTTGGATGATTTCATGCGTACTCTAACATATCATTTAATCCTGCTCAATATCAAATTCTGAATGTGAACAAAAAAACAGTAATGCTGAGCAGACATATATATGTATGTTTGATTAAAATTTAAAAAGCACACTCACTCAAAAATGATATTTTATTGTTTTGTGCATCCTTCAGCAAATATAAGTAACTTTTTTTTTTGCATAACCAGAAAGAAAATTTTTCCCTTGAATATGGCATATATCAAACTATCACAGAGAAGTAGTTACCTGGGATTTATAATTTTGGACAGTCTTAAGGCTTTAAAAAATTTTAAATCCTTAACAAATCTGTCTGCCTTTTCTCAAGTTCTTTTTCACATTCGTTTTTGCACATTTAAATGCGGTTTCTTTTTATATAATCATGGTCATTTCCATTTTTGAATAGAAATTGGTGTTGCATACAATAGAAATACTTTTTATGGGCACAAACGTTTCTATTCAATAATTTTGCTCTACCTATGAGCGCCCAAGCATAGCCTTTCTATTAGTAATCCTTGTCACACTGGAACTGAAATCTGGACAGTTTAAGCAGCAGAGTGGACAAAGTAGTAACATTGAGTGCATATTACAAGATTGAGAATTCATTCTCTATATATGAAAGGAGTTGATACAGTTTGCTGTCCAACCAGAACGAAAGCTTATGAAAATCCATTGAGATATTCTTTTTAGAAAGAATCCAACAATTTTTGAGAATAAAAATAGTTGATATTGAATGCGAAATCATTTGATGAGCATCTGTGACCGGAAAGATCGTAGTGGGGCTCAGGTCCTTCCTTTACATCCTGCCATCCTGGTTTATATCCCAATACCGTATATGGTCCCCAGAGTACCTCCAGGGGACACTACTGGAGCCCAGAGCAACTAGCATCTGAACATCACTACCATATGTGGCCCAGAAACCCCCTCATATCAAAAAATTATGAAGTTTTCATTTAAAATTCAAGTTTAATGTTAATACGCTGTCTATGAATTTAATTGAAAGGTAGAAGGTACATTTATGTTTTAGTTTCATAAATTCATCAATCATGAGACTATATTAAAATAGTTCTCATGGTAAAGAAATTAAATACCTGTATGCACACACAGGGTACAGTTTGAAACATATTAGGGAAGTAAATTTAAGTTGTTATCTCATGGATGGAGTGATAATATAACAGATAGGGTGTTTGCCTTGCACATAACCAACCCAGGTTTGATCTCAGTACCTCATAAGGTCCCCGGAGCACTTCCAGGAGTAAATCCTGAGGGCAGAGCCAGGAGTAACCCCTGAGAATAAATGGGTGTGGACCCAAAATAAACAAAAATGTTGTGTCCTCTGATTAGGGTGATAAAAAGCTACAGTTGGGTATATGTAAAATTAGTTTTAATACCTCCATGGGAACAGCAAGTAATACGTAGGAATGGGATAAGAAGTGAGAAAGGAACCATAAAGAGACCTTGTATTAAACCTATATATTTGAAATAGTCCATGTATTTGAAACTTATCCTAAGAACATCAGTAGAAAGGAAAAAGACATAGTTAAGTAATGTAATTCGAGATAATGAGAAAAGGATTTTATTTCACAAAAAAAAAAAATGGTAACAAGCGTTTAAAATGCTATTTGATGTGGGATATATGCACCTTAAAGTACACCAAAGTAGGAAAATTGAATTTAAGGTGAAAAGAAGAAAGACCTATTTCCATGTTACTTTGCATATTCTATACATGCAAGTATCCATTTATAGAAAAGTGAGTATCACCAAAGAGTAATAGTTCCAGGACCATTTGACAATGTCTGACGATGTGGTTGTGACATCCTCAGAACAAAAAGTTCTAGTGCTTGTTAGAAAAACCAGGACTGGTTAAGAGTCAACACACACAAGAGAGTTTTCAAGTATTATCAGGTCCAAACTGCTGAATATGAGACTTCGAGACTTTACGATAGATTAAACCAAACTGATTGGCAAAATAATAAAATTGGAACATTGATAATGCTCAAGAAAAGAAATTCTGAAGAAATATTTTGGGGATGAGTAAATTTCATAAATATGGTTCGTTGGGGTGGAGCCATAGCACAGCTGGTAGGGTGTTTGCCTTGCAAGTGGATGACCCCTCCACCCCTCTCGGAGAGCCCAGCAAGCTACCAAGAGTATCCTGCCTGCACAGCAAAGCCTGGCAAGCTACCCGTGACATATTCTATATGCCAAAGACAGTAACAACAAGTCTCACAATGGAGAACTTACTGGTGCCTGCTTGAGCAAATCGATGAACAACTGGAGGACAGTGCTACTGTTCTGTGCTTAAACACGTGCATGCTTCAATCTGTGAATTTAATTTAATAAAAGACATATGTGTACACAATTGCTTATACCATAATATTTCCTTGCTAATTATTCTCTCTTATTAGGATCATTTAATTCATACTATATCTAAATAACAGGATTTCTTTCAGTTGTTAAGACTTAAAAATGGGTCTCAGAATAA